TTCAGCAAATTCTCGGCAGTGCCTCCAATCAAATAGACATGACAAGTCTCATGGCTGATCTTCAAAGCAAAATTCTGCCCGATTTTCATAACACATGGACGCCAGCAGAAGAAAAGACAGGAGTTCTTGTTGACGTTGAAAATATACCTGCACCTCCGAAAAAATCGAACGGCTCTGCTATACAGAACATTGGCAACACTGTACTTGAGCCCACGAAAGTAGGTGGTTACCAGTTCGATCTTGCGTTTGGAAAAATTTATTTGATACTACAGTTGTATCTGGATAAAATGGAAATGTTGGAAGATCGTGAGCGTGGCCAGAAGGAGGAAATTGTCGATTTGATGCAGTTTGATGAAGGAGGTAGGTATGCATGGCTGGGCAGGTTCTTCCGCTCTTCCGCGGAAAAGTGAAAAATTCGGCCACCCAACCAGATTCCTACTGTGGTGCGACCCCCAGCTTCCTCTTCTGGTTCAACCTCCTTCCCATCCTGCCTAACATCTTGAAGATTTCCTCACTTCCCACCACTCTTTCCAATTTTTCTAAAAGTTCTCTTTTCTCCTCCTAACTACCATCGAGAGGAAGGGGGACGTGACGTCTTTGAGCAATTGCTAAATACTTCATTCAACTAGCGGAAGTTATAGTCGTACAGGACTTTGACTGCGCTGACTTCCCCGTCAAGAAAGGGATGAGAATTTCTTGCGCACGAAAATAAAAACTTTCTTGAGGCCACGGTACGATCTATCCTCCTTAAAAAAAGATCCCCTCTCCAACGGGAATCATTCAAAGTTTTGAATAGCGCGCGTGGAACACGAAATAACCACAAAAAAAATTCTCGGAGAAAATACGACCTTTTTTGGCGCAAATGCGACTCCCTCCCCCTCTGCTGGGGATTTCCCAGCGAGACGATCCCTGAGGCGTGTTTTTTGTGTGCCCTGGAAAAAAATGAAATTTGTTATTTTCAGATGATATAGATTGTAGTACCGCGGTCGAGTGCTGCTCAGACGATGAATACGCCCAACTAGAAGATGGTGATCGCCAAAAAAATGAGCGTGATCATTCCGTGGTGATCAATCGTAAGCTATCCGAGGTGGGAAGGAAAAGTTCGAAGTAATTTGAATTACACGAAATCTGATCAGTTAAGGGTGAAATCATCGCTCCAGAGCTACCCAGCTGGCAAAATCGTTTCCTGCCGGTTTGCTTCGGCGTCTCTGTCCTCCACCTGTATGGTATCGAATGGCACGAATGGCATAGCCTCGTTAGACTATCATTCCGAATCACTTCTTACCGAGAATCCTTACGGTGTTTCTCCTCGTCTGCTGCTGACTGCGTACCCGGCCTGGCCCCCGCACGTCCGGACGGCTCTCACAACGTCCAACGCCAATGACGGTTTGATCATTATTTGTTTATAATTTAAACATTATCCACTACAGTATGAGCTGGGACAAATGCGGCTCAGCAGCAAGTGGGGCAGTTTACCGCGTGGTAGACCCGGAGATCTAGGCGTGGATAGGCGCCCACGTGTTTCAAAAATCCCTTCCATCGCTTATTTGAATGGTACCGGAAATGCTTGGGAGGACTAGTATGCTGACTTGCACCCCGGCTTGCACCTGCAAGCTTTATATAGGCCAGATAGCATTCAAAGTGTTATCGCTATCTCGAGTGAGAAGGGAATGCGTGGAACAAAGGGATCGAACAACCTCAAAAGCTTAATCCTCTTCTCTTTTGATGCACATACTTACGCTCAAATGAGTCCAGCTGGTTACTACCTTGAAGGATGGCAGAGCATGGAAACGCCGCCGGATGTTACTCCCTCAGCCCCGTTCCTGTACATTTTTGAGCCGTGAAAGTGGCAGCAGTACTGCAGCTGCGGACCCATTCTCCATGCAAATGGCACGCACCGTGGTGAGTGCCGACTTCGAAGGGTAATTATGTCGCTGCCTTTTGAAAATCTGAGCTGTCTTGATTTTAGTGGTCTCTCTGTGGCCTAGATAGCACTGAAGATGGATTTTGTGCCAAACATACTACCAAGCCAAGCTTTGAGCACGGCGATGTATCCATAAAGCTACTTGTTTTAGACATAGCCGCTATTCTCTCGTTCAATGCTAGTGTCTCCCTTAATGAATATTGCTCTTAGGTATCAATCTGGAACGACTGGAGACAATAGGAGATTCGTTTATGAAGTACTCGGTAACAGACTACCTTTACCATTCGCACCCAGATCAATCAATCACGAGGGCAAGCTGTCTTTTGCTCGAAGTAAAGAGGTAATACCACTTTCTCCCAGTTTCCGATAATATTCGCTAGAAGTTGAAAAAAGGCGATGAAGTAGCGAGAGTCTTGTTCTATGACTAGTGGTGAGGGAATTCTCACTAATTCATGCGATGCTTATTACGCTGTAGGACTGTCCTTGGCTTTTGAAACTTGGTTTAGGCGCGTTTCTATACAGTCTTTATGTCCATGACAGAGAGGTGTGGCTGCAATATTCACTTCAACATGGCGTAGGACACATTTATCGTGGTACATCTCCATTTGGGCAACTACTATGCTATTATTGGCTGGAGAAGGAATTACCTCCTCTGTCTCGACCGGCCTCATCCCAACAGAGGCTTCCGTCACCATCCGCGTTTTAAATGTAGTACACCACCACACCCCTCATTCCCCGGGATATGAAGTGTATCTGTGCCACGTACACTGCGCTATTGCATGTGGGTAAATAATGTTCAGCCTCTGAATTTAAGGTTTCTAATTGCAATCTATATCGACTTGGTAAACGGCTTGGCATACCATCTCTAATTGTCGCGTCTAAGTTCGATGTTTATGACTCTTGGCTTCCTCCATGGTTTGTTCATTTGAGCTCACGTTACGCATTGGGGTAAATGTTATTAAAGTGATATTTTTAGTTACATGCCGAACAATGACTTCAAGGCGCCAAATTCTGAAGATGCAGAAGAACGCGATAAGTTCATCGAAGATGTACTTGAAGGCAACGAGACTGCTCAGAAATTGGTAGGCTTCTACTATTCTGCTTTTTAGCTTATGTCTTCACACGTTTTCTCTATCACTGTTTGAAATATGGGCGCACACAACTAGCGGACGGGAGGAGGCATTTTGCACTATCACTGCTTTCCATTGTCGTGTTGAGCCATCAAAGCAGAGAATAGTTATGAAAGCTTGTGGAAATCATGGAGTGACAGTCAAATTTTGTAGAATTGTCGATTCTTGTAAAGCAATGCGCCAAAGGGAAGCAGCGAAAGTGCGTGCAGGGTACAGCATCGTGATGTGTGAAATGGTGGTGGCGGCGCGACCCCCCCCCCCCTTCTCAAGGACCTGTCTTGATACGACCCCCCCCACCTAAACGAGGCTCTCCGTACAACCATCCTTCCCTCACACCTACCTACCAATTTTTCCTGTGCAGTTTTCACCCTAAGATTTTCCGTCGAGCGGGGGTGGGGCTGGACCCATGAAGCACCCGTGAAACAGCAAAAATAAATTAAGCAAAAAAATCAGCAACCGGGAAAAATTCTTCCCCAACGCAGCAAATTTCTCTCAAAGCCACATACGACCCCACCTCCCACAACCACCAAATGCAACCCCCCCACAGCGGAAAAGTACAACCCCCATGTTTCACACAACGATGTTGTACCCTTAGGCGGGGTGGGGCATTCCGCACTGTGCGGAATGCCCCACCCCGCCTAAGTACGTCGAATGTGTTATGTATTCAATAGAATCGCGCTGAGGATTAGGAAAAAAAGAGCATGCGCTCATACATCGCAGAATCAGAAATCCGAGGAATTGAGAGACTGGGAGCATCTTGGAATCCGCGAAAAGGGTTGAATTCATATGGATTGACCTCTAGGCCACAGTTCTCCGATTTCCTGATTCTGCTGTTGGACAGAGTCAAATCACGTGTATATAGTCTTCTTTTTTGTGGATTCCTCTAATCAGAGTGTCTTTTTGTTACTTTTAGCCCAAACCTGTGACTGGATGGGATCAGGCAGACATGAACAATGATGTACGGCAACTGGAAAATGGCGTGGAAACGATTAATTTCGCTAAGGTGCAACTAATTTTTATTCTTTTATGTTTCTGTTAGTCACGTATATGACGTGCGCTCCTTAGTATAGCCAGTTTCAGCCATCTGCCAATACTGCGGCCCTAGACGAGTTACCACCGTTGCCATACAATATGTTAACGCAACAGTACATAAGTGACAAGTCTATAGCCGACGCAGTTGAGGCTTTGATCGGTGCTCATTTGTTGACGCTGGGACCTCATCCTACGCTAAAGGTGATGTTTGTTCCGTTTCAAACAAAAAGTATCTTTGGATTAATCGCGACGGATGAGAGCTCCTCCTCGACCCTGACGAATGCATTGGCGAAACGAAATAAGTACGTATCGACTGGGAGAGTCGTCAACCGTTCTGGCGCAAGCGCGCAAAGGAGTAGCCAGTTATTAATTCCGCTAATTCTTTCATAGTGAAGTTCGCTGGTCCTCCTGGTCGATATGTACCTAAGCCTTTTCGTAGGTCCACTTTATCGGTCTGTCCGATCCGCCGATTCTCCTTGTCGACAGGTATCGAAACCCTTTCGCGGGTCCTCTTCTTTCGATCGCAGAGTCGAAAGCTGTGAATTCCGAGAGAGGAGGGACGCACCAGTGGGAAAGACATCGTGGTCATGAATCTCCACTTATTTATATATCGCGGAGCCCTCAGTTTATTCTATGTGGGGTGTCTTTGAACTTCCGAAGAAAGGCGGAGATAGGGTAGTGACCAGAGTGACGAGCCGCTTAACCTCGTTAACTCGCCCTTTTTTGAGCCAGCCAAGGGTTACCGTCGAATACATGTTCGGTTCATTGATTTGGTACCGGAACGTTCGTGTAACATGCATGGTCGATCAGGGTAAGCTGGAGAACTAGCGGGGTGTGTTTGATCGCTAGAGGGAGGTCGTTGTGTCTGGCTTGAGAATTGTTTAACTGATTTTTCTTGCTTGGTGCGCGCCACTCACAGCGTTTGGAAAATCCCATTGAGGGAGGTCGTAAGTTGTAGAAATTTTCATCGGCGACAGGGCTTGCTGGCTATGACGGCTGAGGCTGTGGAGGCACTCAAGTGTCACTACAGTTTGGAAAGCATATCACATCTAAAAAGGACTGGTCTTCGTTCATTAATTTTCTTTCTGTCATTGACTTTTTGAGAGTCTGTTTGCTGCTTATTCTCGCTTAGTGCTAGAAATCTATGTCGTCTCCTTTTTTACCAGAGTTGTTTTGAGGTCATGAAATGGCTCGGTCTAAAAGTGCTGACGGATGATGTCGTGGCTGTTGATCCGTTGTTAAAGTAAGGTTTTTATGCTTTGAGCTGATCAGTAAAGTTTTGAACAGTTTCATTAATTTGAATGGTGTTGTATTTTTCAGATTTGTTAACACACCTGATTGTCCAAATATGGCTGAGCGGTTGTTGCAAGACATGTGGCAGCAGTTTAATTTTAGTCTGCTAGAAGAGAGAATAGGGTCAGAAAATTCGCTATTTTTTATGCAAGCTCTTGAAAAACAGGTAGAAACGGGTTCTTTTTCAGGTATCGGTTTAACAACAAGGCCTATTTGCTGCAAGCTTTCACTCATGCTAGTTATTTTAAGAATAGAATTACGGGTTGCTACCAGGTGAGTTCACATTTGAGGCCTTAATTTCGTTGAGGAAACTATTCTCCTTATCCTCCAAGTTCGTTCTTCTTGGGAAGTGGTATCCGGGTGCCGTCAGCCGGACTCTGCCCGCGCTGTCATAAGAGTACAGTGCTTGCGTCGATGCCGAAATCTCGCTGCGAAACACACGGAGAACAACTAGAAGGGAGAGAGCGCAGACGTAGGGCGTTTGGCTATGGTTGGGCGTGTTGCTGACCGTGCGGCGGCGCGGGCGGAGTCGAGAAACGGTAGCCGGGGTTTCACTATCCTTCAGACTGATTCGGTATTCGATGTATCCCAAATCTTGTCTTCAGCGCTTGGAATTCCTCGGTGATGCTGTGCTTGATTATATGATCACGCGATACCTTTTCGAAGATGAACGACAGTATAGCCCTGGAGTGTTGACCGATTTACGCTCAGCTCTCGTGAATAATACGATTTTTGCTAGTCTTGCTGTCAAGTACGATTTCCATAAGGTAATTTCTTTTTCTGCCTCTCCATGCACGGTTTCTTCAACGCCGTCCAGCATTTCCAAGTGGGCGGAGCCAGGGAATGGTGTCATTGGCACTGCTGTGGAGAGCGGAGGAGGACGTGCCAGCGTTTCCTGGCTCCGCCCTCCCCACACGGTGTCTTGAGAGTGTTAGTAACCATTTGTTCAGCATTTCATTGCCATGTGTCCGGGTCTACATCATATGATCGAGAAGTTTGTTAAACTTTGTAGTGAACGGAACTTCTTTGATGCCAACTTCAATTCTGAGGTGAGAATGAACTTTTCTAAAAACTTCTGCCAGTTTGCCTTGCATTCCATTAGGCCATTGTATACAAAAGCCTGGTATTGGTTTTGGCTAGCCTTCTCTTGAAATGCGCCGTGCGTCCTTCTACCGTCCAAAATCGTAGGTGCTATTTGGTTCCGTGTAACTTCTAGTGGAAATCGCCGATCTATAGTCTTGTTCTCCGTGGACGCCGAGGCGTTTCATTAGGCTGACTTTGGCGCGGCGCCAGCCTTTGATCAACTAATTGTGCCTGCCTGCTTCCACAACTGATTGGGAACAGGCTTGCGCTGCGCCATACTCAGCCCACTCAAAGCAGCGTTCGCGGTGAACAAGGTTGTATTTCAAGCCAAGTCGGAGTTTTGGTCTTACGAGACGAGTGTAGTAACGTTTCATCGGCCCCGGTGGGGAAGGCGCTGCTAGGTCGAGAGGGGCGTATCCGAGTGTTGCCTTTGACCGCGCGCGCGTATCAGCAGGCGCCGCTTATCATTACACTGCCTCTGCTACTATACCCTCTGAAGAACTGGAAATGAAAGGGAAAATTCTAAAAAGAATGGAAAATGGGGAGGGAAGAGTGAGGAGGAGGGGTGTTTCAAGGAGTTTCCTTTGTAACTCATTCGGAACTACGTAGACGTACAGCATAGATGGTGAAGGTCGTCCCATAAGAGCAGAAGATTTTTCTGTAAAAAACGTTGGCATAGTAACCACGGAGGCTCAAGAAAAGACAGGTGCTACTCAATATGTAAACCAGTAGCGAATGGAATAGATAGTAAAATTATGAATAATCAGGGTAAACAGAATTTACAGTGGGTAATGTGTTCGCGGCAAAAGGGGTGCGTGGCTACCTGGGCGGGTTCCCGATCAGAATGCAGTGTGCAAGGGGTACTGTACTGCTCGTTTCGCGCAGGATCGAAAGAATATTTTTGTTATATGCAGACAAGTTACAATTTGCTTTTGTGAGGGCAGCTCCAGGTAGTGCCAAAGTTTACTTTAAGATGTATATGGTGACAACCGAAGAAGAAATTGACGAAGGTCAAGAGGAGGACATTGAAGTGCCGAAGGCGATGAGCGATATTTTTGAGAGTGTTGCCGGAGCAGTGTACCTTGTAAGTTTCAGCCCTAAGTTTTGTTTTGTAATTGCAAATGCTGAGCCATCAGGACTCACCTATAAGGAATTGCCAAAGGTGTTGGTGGCCGCAGGGCTTGAAGTGACCGCTTTTGGTTTTCAAGGATGCGAATCGTGATTTGGATATTGTGTGGCGCGTGTTTTTCAATTTGATGAGACAAACGATAGAAGAATGTTGCGCGTATCCGCCACGATCGCCTATTCGTGAGCTCATGGAACTCGAGCCAGGAAAAACTCGCTTCAGGTACGAAATTGGATCTTATTCTTCGCCAGATGTACATTGTTTGGTGCAGATTGGCTTGGCTCCGAGTAGTACACAGTCAAATTTCTACAGACCACCTTAGGAATTTTGTGAATCTTGTGACCAACGTGGCTCAATTTCGCAGCTTCACAGGAGTTTGCAGGTTCGACCAAAGTGAGATCTGTTGGTAAACATGAACCAACAACGGATCTGGCAAAAGTGCGAAAGCCCCCACTCCCCACCTACCAGGCTGAATGCGCCTATTATTTTATGACATAATACATACTACTTCCTCTTCGTTTCTTCTGGTCTTGTATTACTGGTGGGCGGATTAGTAGTATTTTCAGCAAAATGGAAAGAATCATTGAGAGCGGAAAGGTGCGAGTGACGGTTGATATTGGAAATAAGATAAAATTCACAGGAATGGGTCGAAATTACCGTATAGCGAAAACGACAGCAGCAAAGAGGGCACTCAAGTTCGTTGACGTTTTGTTACTTTCTTTTTTTTAATTTTTCAACGGATAACTCTGACAAATCTATCTTTGGGATAATGGTTCGGAATGAAATGATGAGTTCATGTCCTGATAGGAATTGTTTTGCGCAGGTAAGTGCACTGCTCGGGCATGGGTAGTCAAAGTACCACTGTGGACAGATTTCTGGCCAAAGCTGGCTCTGGAGACGACAGTGAAGGGAAGCGCTGGCTGAGTTGAAGACAAACTGTACCCTCACCTCCGAAGACTCAATGTGCTTGGCGAATGAATCCCCAGCTGCATTGGCGTGCCACTTTCAGTGCACGGAATGGTGCTGGAGGGCGGGTGCCCCTCCCAACTCCGCTCACGCTGTCCTGTAGTTGTAGCTCTGTTGGACAGTCAATAAGATTGTTTTGTATTTCTTTTCCAGCCTGAAATAATTATGCTTACACGAAAATTTATAAAAACAAAATAATAGAGAATGATGTCAAATATCGGCTTTTACACGGATCTCAGAATCGCGGAATCAGATCATATAGCGCTAACTGCAGTTCATATCACAGGATAACAAGAGGCGTAGCTGCGACTGCGGCTAGGGTCTAGACGGAAAAGAGGTGCGTGTAAGAGAAGAGACTAGGCCTGAGAGTGCGCAGCAGCTCCTCAAACACCTCTTTCCGCCCTGCTGGGGAAGATTTGTGATTTTTCGAAGCACTGTTTGAAAGCACCGTTTAAAGGCAGTTGGCACGATGGTTTCCCACTTGGCCTAAAATGCTAGTAGGGCGCTGTATAGTGGGGAAATGGCGAAAGAACGGAGTGAAACGGTCCTGCGAAGAAAAAGCCTCCGTTCTCAGTGACTTGAAAATCGATTTCGGACGAGTTTCCCGTACGCATCTTGCCAATCACCGCTACCGAAGATACGGCTGCATATGTGTACCCATATATGCATGCAGCATCACGGCCGCTTCATACCAATCCCTTTGCTTCATAATTTGCTCAGCAAATGAATGAATACGAGCGTCAGGAACGGTCGTCCGTTTGTGGGCGGGGGCGAGGAAGGCGTTTGGGACGGAATGTTGTTGCTCGATAGGGCGTTATAGGGGTACCCTCCTTGGAAAAGGCGCCACGGAGCGCCTGTCCGAGGTCACGGAATTCTGTTAAGCCAGTCGTATAAATCCTACATCTGTATAGCGATTTATCGTGCCAACTGCCTTTGAAGCAGCACTGTGGCCTTCACTGTCACCTACAGACCACCATCGGCGACACACGTAGCAGCCGATGTTCAACTCATTGCCTAGTTCGAGGAGGTCACACAGCCATGTTCGCTGCGGATGAAGCGGGTGTGTCAGGCGGGATGGGCTTGGCGCGGCGCCAAACCCGTTCTCCACCAGTTGTTGGTTGGAGCGAATGAGCCACAACAAGTGGGGTGAAACGGCTTGTACGAATGGCATAATACAGCTTGCTTTGTTTCAGCTGATGGGAAAGGTCCGGTGCAGCGCTAAACATCCCGCTTAACACGTCCGCTCACTCGCAGCGAACAAGAGTGTAAATACTGTAGTACGGGAAATGGCCAATCCCACGGACTCCGAATCCGCGCCTGGCCAGCTTCTCTTTGTATCCCCTACGTCACCCAGGCATCCGGTAGAGCAGCCCTGTCGTTCTGAAAGTGACTTCACGATCAGTTGGAAGAATCAGAATGGTTGGATTCTTAAGGCACATTACACTCTAATAGTGTGGACGAAGACACTTGTGTGCCATTTGTTTCTATTACCGTAAAGTGGGGGGCGCACATATGACGGAGGGGCAAAGGTCAGAGGGACTCCACCCATCAACAAGGAATGTACACTTCAGAACACAGAGGCGCGGTAGACGTGGCGTCATTTGAACATGGCGCAGGATGGATCATTCGTGGCATATTTCAATTTGGGGCAACTGTCGTTTTGTGCACAAAGCATGATTACTGGCCCAAAATGTTGATACATCACGAAAATGCAGCCGTCTTGTTCGAATGAAGCACGCATATACGCCCGCTGTATTTCAGAGATATGGGGTGTGCCTCTAACGCAGAATCCGGTAAGCGTTTCAATAATGGTCGTAAGGTTCCAATTCGTAGTTCGAAAATTATCTTGGATGTTCTTTAGGTATTTGAAGAGCTTGGAGGAGCAGAAGCTACGTGAAGCTGAGCGTAACATGGCAACGACAAATTAGTCTCTTATGGCTTTTATGGATGAATTGATGAAAGTTCTTTATTACCTGTGAACTGTCTAGTCTAGTCGAGCTAGTATAGTATTCCCTAGAACGAGTGTTTTGTATCTCTTGATGTAAAATATTGGGTATGAGATTATACTGCGATTTTGTAAAGCACTGCTTCAACGGAAAAAGTTTACAAGTGTTTTTGTATAGGGTTTATAAAGCAACGTTGATCTGTTAATTAGCTCGTTCTATTCCATATTTAAATGAAAAATAAGCTTTCTTCAATTGTTTCTCTGAATGCTTTATTGATTCTTAATTGTTATCTCACAGAGGGATTTGTGAAATTTACTTGAGATTGTTCCGATGTGAATGAATTTGGTTTTACCGGTAATATTTTTGTACACTGAGAATGTCTGTAGGAGCTCTGAACGTACAGCTTTGATGACATCTGTTTCTATTGGCACATGTGGAATTATTGAAGACACAGCGACCCAGAAAGCGATAGTTTTCCTTGTGTAGGCGGAGTTACTTGTTTCACTGCATATCCTCTCATTGGTGGAGCTACTGGTAGGTCCCTTCCAGAATAGCAAGCGGGATTTTAATCAAATTGTCTTCTCCGGGAATAGGATTGGGCTTTCTGACGCAGTCCGCTCCCCACTATCCGTGACCAATCTGGACGCCACAGAAAGCCTCACTCCCACAGCCACGCCCACTTTTTAGCGCGAACAGGACTTCTCAAACTTGGTACTGTAACTTTTTCTTCTGTGATTTTTCCTGCATAATTGCTATTTCGTACATATTTACTAACTGATGAGCGTTTGCTTAGCGACTTTCAGACCACCCTCCCTTTTTTAAGGGGCTCAATGTTAATTTCGGGTTTTTACAACTTTTTCCAACGTAGTCGTTTCGCGCTCATGCTTCACGCATCGAATGCTCTCCTGGCACGCAGTGCGGTACCAACAACTGAGGTCCGCTTCTAGTGAGCACTTTCTCGGGGCATTCTGGAACTTTGACCTTTTTTTCTATTCACCTTTTTGGGGCGTCGAAGAGCTCCGCCCTCGCGCAAACGCCGCCCTTTTTTGTGAAATTGTTGTGAACTTTTGTGGCTGGAGTCTCTCTCGGAATAAGCCAGATAAGGTTGTGATGCCAATAGCGCCTCATGAGGGGCAAATTTGCCGGCGCTAAAAACGAATGTTGTATTCATAATCAAATCGCCAAATAACCATGGTATACAAGTTTGCAATGATTTTCGTGATAAAAAGTTGTAAGTGATCAATGGCGCCCATTGCCGCTAAATAGCGCAAACTCCTAGAACTCTTGGATTCTTCATCGTCAGAGCCCTGTGTAATTCATATAAGCGAAACTTCAGCAAAAAAAATTTGAGAGGCTTTTGTGGTACCTGTGGACAGTTGAGAAAGCGGGTATTACTCCATGAAATCTCATGAAAACAACTTCTTGCATGATATCGTTGATTATTTGTCTCCCACAAAAGTATTAGAAAACAAAAAATACAACTATAAAAAATCAACGGCAACAACTCAAAAGTAGTGAAATTGCTGTTTATGAGCTAAGATAATGCCTTCTGTGTCAAATGATGACCTGACACTTTCAGGGCATTATCAGCATTACATGGAACATTCCAAAGGGTCCAGCCAACAATGATCATTCTTCCACCCGTTTACTTTTTGCGGCAGCCTCTCATTGCTCAGACACTTTCTCTCGCTGTTGCTTTTTTCGTCTGCCACTTTTCAATTTTTTTCTGACGCCAATTGAATACTGTCAGACTTTGACGAGGGAAATGTTTGCTGTCATCTTGAGAACGAATTTTGACGTGCGATACAGCTTTGCCTTGTGACAGAATTCATCCATATCAAAATTCTTTCTGTTTTATAGCGCAGATGGGCCTGGTGGGGGCACTTTGCTCTCCTGCCTGTTTATTTTTCATCACCATATAGCTGCAGTGGTTCGAAATTTAGGCGCTGCATCGGCATGGGGGGAAGTGGGGTCATTTTGTAGCCTTTTTGCTAGTTTTTGCTGAGGAGTGTGAACTCCTGTGAAGCGGTGCAAAG